TCTTGTGATCATCAAGATCAAGATCACTAATTATGTCGTCTTCCGCATCAAGTAAGCATTTCGTATACACCAAATTATTTATTCAAGATTTTTAATGAAGTTTACATGTGGTATCAGAGCATGTGTTGTGAATAAAATAATTTGTTGTATGAATCATATGAGCATGATTGTATAATAGCACATATGAATTTTGGCCGAATCCGATGACAGTATTACCAGTCAGAGATTGAAAATTACGATTCATGTCTATTTATTAATTATCGAATGCTATATCGGCCGGTTTTTGAATTAGGCATCAATCTTCGATAAAAAAAAAAATGATTGCTGGGTCATGTGATTTTAATTTCCGTAATATTATTATGATGATGCTTACGTGAATATTGTTGTTTTGGTTATGTGATTAATTTCCTAAATGATGATGCTGTGAAATTAATTTATGTTCTTTAATGATGTTATTGATAGGGATTATGTACCTATCCGGCCTGATTAAGCCGAGTTTGAGGGTCTTGGCCCATCGACCCATCGACCCATAGGGTCTCGACCTATAAGACTCATAAGGTCGACCCTTACAAAGGGTCTCGACGCATCGACCCACGTAGGGCCTCGACCCCTTTGGCCTAACGGCCAACACACGGGGCGCCACTCACAAGAAGTCGACCCATAAGGTATCGAACCGGGAGGGTTCGACCCGTAGTAACGGCAACCACCACGCAGTCCGTACTATTAGACACTATATAAAGGGTAAATTCCTCAAGAGGAAGGTAAGACTCCATTAATATCATTACTACAACATTTATTATACACAATTCTCTCTCTAAATCCGAGATCCTAACTTGGGCGTCGGAGGGTTTGCGCCGGAGAAATTCCGGCGCGCTTTCAGGTACCGGAGAACACGCAAACTTGGGCCAGACCGAATCAAGCGAACCACACCATAACCGGAAAGAACCTTCCGTAAGACCGGAGCCACCAATCTCGGACCATATCAGTTATGATCCTCAATAATAAGAATTTTGTGTCTATTGATTTGCTGTACACGCATAAATGATTTATGATTTGCCTATAATGCATTTTGGCAAATCAAAATTGTTGTTCTCCTTTAATGAGAATTATGAAGGTGTTTTGGGGATTTCATTAAAGTTTGAACATGAATATTGTTTGTTAATGATCACTAAAGCCCCACATTATCGTTTAAGATAAACAGACATCTGGTTCGTGTTTGAGTTATCAGTTAATTGTTCTTGTGATTCCATGATGCTTATTATATTATATGACATTAAGTCAAAATTAATTAGTTAGTCACCAAAGTGGCCGAATTGATTTTTAATGTTTAGTCATATAATTTATCGGTATGAATGTTTTATTGTATGACATTAAGATAAAATTAATTTGTTAGTCACCAAAGTGACCTAATTAATTTTTAATGTCCGGTCATATAATATTATTGTTACAATTGTTTATTATATGACATTAAGTGAAAATTAATTTGTTAGTCACCAAAGTGGCCGGATTAATTTTCTAATGTTTGGTCATATAACTTATATTTTCTTAAGAATGTCATTATTTAAGATAATGAGTTTATTGGTTGTTAGAAATTATGGATTTACCCAAAGGTGAATCAATGTTTTATAACTAATAAACATTAAGGAGAAAGATAATATATTTTGTCGAGCATATGTAGAT